AAGGAAGGTAGCAATAAAGAAAAAGCAGCAGTCTTACGCTCCATGAACACCACCCTTGGCAAGACATCCTGGCTGGGGGGAAATGAACTCACTGTAGCAGACATCGTGGCGTGGTGTGCACTTCAGCAGACAAGTAGCTCTCATGCTGTCCCAGCCAATGTACAGAAATGGATGAAGTCTTGTGAGAATTTGGTACCTTTCAACAGTGCCCTTAAACTATTAAAATAAGTTTGCACTCTTCAAAGAGGTATTCTGTAGTTTTATTCCACCTCATGCCTGCTGTGAAAGTCTCGTCTAAAATGTATTTTAGTGAGATTGTTTTTTGAAGTCTTTGATCAATTGTAAAATCTTATACCAATAAAGACATCACAGTTGCCTTTTGCTTGTAATCTTATTTGTATGAGATTAAAATAAACACAATAGCCTGTGGTGCCAGAGCTGTATGTTAGACTAGTGGTTGTAAGTGTTGAGGGCATGTTTTGACCCCAAGCTATCCTGCACAGAGATCTAGGAGGCTTAGAGCTAAAATGCTAGATGTAAACATTAGGCACTCCCTTGCACTGGCAACTGGGGAGAGGTGTGTGATCAGAGGCCACTAAAAAACAGCTCCAGTCACACAGTGCCTATGGGGGGGGCAGGGGATAAAGGAGGAGGGGGAGGCTGGGGGCTAGAATGGATAGTAACCCACTAGGGGGAAAGGGTACAGTGGGGAGCTACTACTTAAGGGAGAATACCAATAACTAAGGCTACATTTGTGACCTCTCCATGACTTTTACTATATACTCCTAACTAAAACTTGGGCATAGCTCAGCTTTGTGCCAGTGTGGCCAAATCCATGTCAGTGGCAATTGACCTGGCACAGAGGGTCACAGTGCCACTCAAACTTTGGCCCAGTTAGCTCCCCACATCATGATGGAGGCACGGTTAGGCCAAGCCTGAGCAAGGCTGTGACCCCTTACACCAGGTTGCAGTGCCCAGGCAGCCCCACAACCCAGTGATGCATTCTAGCAAGCTAATTTTGGAGTGTTGTGTGTTCAGAATTCCCTCTACCAACTACATAGACAAATGTACTTAACATTTACATCTTATAAAGAAGCATGACATGTAATTTATAAATTTCAGAGTAGCAGCCGTGTTAATCTGTATTCGCAAAAAGAAAAGGAGTACTAGTGGCTCCTTAGAGACTAACCAATTTATTTGAGCATAAGCTTTCGTGAGCTACAGCTCACTTCATCGGATGCATTCAGTGGAAAATACAGTGGGGAGATTTATATACATAGAGAACATGAAACAATGGGTGTTACCATACACACTGTAACAAGAGTGATCACTTAAGGTGAGCTATTACCAGCAGGAGAGCAGGGGGGAACAGACCTTTTGTAGTGATAATCAAGGTGGGCCAGTTCCAGCAGTTGACAAGAACATCTGAGGAACAGTGGGGGAGGGGGGTAATAAACATGGGGAAATAGTTTTACTTTGTGTAATGACCCATCCACTCCCAGTCTTTATTCAAGCCTAAGTTAATTGTATCCAGTTTGCAAATTAAATTCATTCCAATTCAGCAGTCTCTCGTTGGAGTCTGGTTTTGAAGTGTTTTTTTTGTTGAAGAATTGCAACTTTTAGGTCTGTAATGGAGTGACCAAAGAGATTGAAGTGTTCTCCAACTGGTTTTTGAATGTTACAATTCTTGACGTCTGATTTGTGTCCATTTATTCTTTTACGTAGAGACTGTCCAGTTTGACCAATGTACATGGCAGAGGGGCATTGCTGGCACATGATGGCATATATCACATCAGTAGATGTGCAGGTGAACGAGCCTCTGATAGTGTGGCTGATGTTATTAGGCCCTGTGATGGTGTCCCCTGAATAGATATGTGGACACAGTTGGCAATGGGCTTTGTTACAAGGATAGGTTCCTGGGTTAGTGGTTCTGTTGTATGGTTGCTGGTGAGTATTTGCTTCAGGTTGGGGGGCTGTCTGTAAGCAAGGACTGGCCTGCCTCCCAAGATCTGTGAGAGTGATGGGTCGTCCTTCAGGATAGGTTGTAGGTCCTTGATGATGCATTGGAGAGGTTTTAGTTGGGGGCTGAAGGTGATGACTAGTGGCGTTCTGTTATTTTCTTTGTTGGGCCTGTCCTGTAATAGGTGACTTCTGAGTACTCTTCTGGCTCTGTCAATCTACAATGTACTACACCTCCAGAAGTGACCTTACAGTAACAGGTGAAATGACAGAGAAACCACATCGGACAGGGCATAACTAAATTATGCCTGAAAGACAAATACCATTAAAGTACAGACACAGGACAGCTGTTTTGACATTTATATAAAAAATTGTTACATAATTGTATAGGTTTTACTGAGCTACTCATGTATATACAGTCTGTCTGATACTCTACTTAAACTGGAGAACCAAGCCTCTTGTGCCTATCTTCTCTCTCTTTTTCTCTTGAAAGCAATTTTATTTTCTCCTTAAGCTTTTCAATTTCTTCCTCTTGCTGCATCACCTTCTGCTGTAGACTACAAATAACCTGAAAGCAAAAGACAGTTTAAGAAAAGTCATATTGGAAGAATCCCTCTTAAATTTGCTTGCCACTAGCTAATACACCAAGCCAACTAAATGTTTTCCCCCTTGAAAATTTAACTTACTCCACAGACAGAAGAAATACAAGTTTCACTGATGATAGGGTATGGCAGTAGCAGACATTTGTTAGCTACAGCACTAGGGGATGGATTTTTCCTTCTGCTACAATACCAAGTGGCTTATGTCTTGCAGTCGTGTCTGAACTTTTCCTGTCACGTGCCACCTGCTCCCTGTAATGGAATCTGTCCACATTCCCCCTCCCATTACTGCACAGCTGGCATAGGTGCTGGAGCTGGTGCTGCTGCACCCCCAGCTAGAAGTGGTTTCCATTATGTACAAGATTTACAGTTTGGTTTAATAGCTCTCAGCACACTCACTATCCAAATTGTTCCAGCACCCCTGACAGTTGGCAGAGCTGGGGGCTGAACTGGGCATGGGGGAGGAGCTAGAGCAGGTGTGAGTGGCACTCCCTCCCCACTCCTATGGGGGCTAACTTGAACCTTGCCACATGCCCTCCCCAACCTTTGCATGCCCCTGGGGGAGAGTGGGGGAAAACATCCCACAGTTTGGGGACCACTGTTTTAAAGGGAGATGACTGAAATGTCCTGAGGTTAGAGCACAGCCCTTGAACCAGCATAGCAGTGACTCAAAAGATCAAAATTCTAAAGTGGTAAGTTTCAGAGTAGCAGCCCTGTTAGTCTGTATTCGCAAAAAGAAAAGGAGTACTTGTGGCACCTTGGAAACTAACAAATTTATTTGAGCATAAGCTTTGCATCCGATAAAGTGAGCTGTAGCTCACGAAAGCTTATGCTCAAATAAATTGGTTAGTCTCTAAGGTGCCACAAGTACTCCTTTTCCTAAAGTGGTAAGGGATCTCCTGATAGGCTTTGTGGTAGAAGCACAAGAGTGAGAATCCTGAAAAATTATGCCTTCGGCAAAACAGATAAAACTAACAAAACCTTGTATATGTTAACTTACTTTCATTGTTGCATGTTAATTAGTAAAACTTTATATTTCGAAACCAACCAAGATTAGAAACACTGGTGTAACACCCCATTCTCATGCAGTGGTCCTAAGCACAGTAATCAGAAAAGCACTACATTTGTTCCATCATTCAAACCATCCTTAAGTTGTAAAAATAGCAACAAGGGCATGCAAACAGGCAGAGGGAGAACAAAGCTCTGTCAGCACAATGCAATTTTTTATGTTCCTCTTGCATAAATGCATTTTTTCAGCTGTATGTTTTCTTTATCCTGCACTAAAATAACTTACATTTTCTGTATTATGAAACAGTTCACTTTCAAGAAGCTGAGCAGCAGTTGGTCTCTGTGATGACATCTCACTGGTTAGCAACTTAACATACTTGGTTTGTACTGGCCATTTGCTACTAAAAGAACTAGGAACATGGCCATTTCTTAAACTTGTCAGAATTTTGGTTCTTTCCATTTCTGTTCCAAATGGCTGAAAAAGTTCTAGAAGAATTACACCCACACTGTACATGTCTGACTGGAAAAGGGGAAAAAGGTCTACAGTTACATTTATATTCAAAATAAAATTTTCAGTGTACACAGTTTCTAGGAAACAATATCAGGTGTTGAACACAGCATCCTAAAGGTTAACAGACTGGCACTTTGCTAAAGAAAGTCTTAGCATACACATTAACAACCTCATCACAGGAGGTGCACAACAAAAAGGCAGAACTGAAACCTATGTGTCAGCCAGTAGTGAGGAAACTTTACTAGCTACAGTTTTCAGAGTAACAGTGTAACTGCCCAGCAGGAGGCCTAGAGTTTTGTTCCTACTCCCTAACAAGCATTTCTTTTAAAAACAAGTATACATTTGTTTCATTACATTTAAGTCATTAATTTTTAATCTTTTCTTTTTAGAGAAATGTTACTCTTAAAATTAAGCTCTGAAAAGACTCAAAGCCATATGATTTCTTGAAAAACATGTATTTAAGGAGCAAAGACAAAGGTAATCACGCTGTTAACCTAAAGAAAGTACATCAAAATAACAAACGCTTGGCAGATAGTACTTCACACTAAAGTATTTTTAAAACTCTATAGGAAAAAACAATTGTCACTACCTTGAAATCATAGTGAGATCCTTGCAACTGTTCAGGTGAAGCATACAGACAAGTACCGACTCCTGAAGTATGTTTTAGTCCTACAAAAAAGAAACTGAATTTAAAATTGCTTCAGTGTCTCCAGTTTCATTTATAAAAATTGATAATGATTTAAACAATCCTTTCAATAATGCATAGCTAATTTTTTAATTGAAAACCTAATGTGTTTTTTTAATTACCATTTATCTTCTCTGTTGTTAACCAGTGGTTTGGGTTTTCCTGTATAATATCTCTGCAAGCCAGTCCGAAATCTCCTATTTTCACATGGTGGTCTGATCCATGTAGAAAAACATTTCTGGGCTACAAAAATAGACTGTATCAATCTCTTACTTTAAAAAAAATGTTTTTTTTAGTATTCTGAAGTAACGTTTCTCTATTTAAGTTCCACAAATTGTAATATTCCTTCTAGTCTTCAGGATGATAAAACCGAACAACACCTATAATAGTTAATTACTAATTATTTAACATCTGCATTAACGACCTAGTAAAAGAGAGCAAAAATGAAATTCACAGGTGGTGTTATATCAGATGATGATGCAAACACCAGTGGAGGCAGACATAGAACACCAGAGGCTCTAGAGAGAAAAGAAACATGGGCAAAGAATAACAAAACAAGAATTAACATTGGAAAAAATACAAGCTTACAGACTTGAGGGGAAATAATATTAAACTGATCTTTAACAGGAGGGGGAAACCTGACAAAGAGAGATCTAGCATGATAGTGCACAGCAAATTTAGACCATTTAATGTATGATATGGCAGCAAACAAAAAAAAAATGTGGACTCTCTATACTGAAGCATAACATAACAGTTCCTCTTCTCCAAACGGCTCTAGTGACCACATCTCCAATAGGACATTCAATTCTGGGTAACTCATTATCAGAAATACACTGATAAATTGCAAAGAGTCTAGCAAAGAGCACAAGGGATTAGGAGGCAGAAAGTATTGATATATGAAGAAAGATTAAAATATCTTAATATGTTAAATTTAAATTTGGCTATATGACCATTAAGATAGAAAATGTTAAAAAAAAATTAAAATACCTGCAAACTAAACCAAGAAAGGAGAATTATTAAATGAACTATACAAAATAATCCTGCCCTGGTTGGGGTGAGGGGGTGGAGCCGTGAATGATTTAATGCATTGTCCACATTTATTATCTTGATTATTTTATAGCAACTCTAAAATGTTACACAAGCACTGAGGGAATGTTATATACTTAAAAATACATCACAATAATTATGTCCGACAAACATATGAAGCAGACAAATATCAATTAGTATTCTGCTGGTAGTTGTAACTTTAAAACCAGACTTCAAATCTGTTCTAGAACCAGACATCTTGCAACATCACAAAGAGTGATACAGTTCCCATGGCAGAGTCCAAAATTCTGCCTTTTCTTTGGGCCATGTATTCTCACTACAAACTAAATTTATCTTACCATGGGTAACATAACCAAGGGAGCCAGCACACCCACAACTGACTCTGATCCTTTCACTTACTCCCTTTCTTCCTGTAGGCGGAAGGGATTTAAGCCACTCCAAGCAAAACTATATGAAGCAATAATGAAAGATGACAGCACCAACATTAAAGCTTTACTAGCACACCAACCTGTCAATGAACCACTGATTGTTTGGGATAACTCTAAGTGCAGAAGAACACTGTCAATCCAGGTAACCATTTGACCTAAATTATCATTATTTTTTAAATCCACAGAGTTAAGATGCTATTTAAAATTCACAAAATAAATTCCTCAACTAATTAATTAAAAACATCACAAGGTTAATATTAAAAAATGGGGGCTTCTAACTCTATATTTGACTGGTTAGATCCTACTGGGTGTTCAGCTCTTGATAACCAAGACTATTTATTTTGGGTCTAAAAATATGGATTTATGAGTGCCTGAAATTAGGCTCCTCTTTTTAAAAATTCCTGACCGAAACAAAGCCATCTGACATTCACTTTCCATCCATAAAAAAACCCCATTCATAAATATATGAGGCAGAATAAATCCCACAAGCTCCACAATCTCAGAAAGTAGTTTACTATGACCCAGCGATTTGACTCAATTGTATGGTCAAGTAATTAACAGACTAGCTAGAAGACATCTGTGAAATTCAATGCTATACCTTCTAAAAAAATGACTGATCATAAAAACAAAACATCTTAGGTTTGCTGGTAGAGACCCCACTTGCAAATGGGAATTTTATCACTGTAACTGGTTTGTGTCATATTTTTCAGAATCAAGAAATGTATTAAAAATGGTATTTCTAAGATATGCTAAGTTTTGGTGCCTGTCAAACTCAAGGGCTACTTGATAGTGTTCATCTAAACTAACAGCAGTGAAATTCAGAGTTAAAGCTAAAAGAAAAGGAGTACTTGTGGCACCTTAGAGACTAACCAATTTATTTGAGCATGAGCTTTCGTGAGCTACAGCTCACTTCATCAGATGCATACCGTGGAAACTGCAGCAGACTTTATATACACACAGAGAATATGAAACAAGTTAAAGCTGCCACTCACTTCATCATTAATAATTCTGTCATAAGTATTGCAGAAGTCACCGACCAGCAGAAATCTTACACACAGTACCTGTTTGCTCAAGCTCTCAGACATAGGCTGTATTCTGGCCCTCTTTTTTCCTCCCTGCTACTGCAGTATAAGAAGCCAATTGAGTACTAAGACTGTGATAGAAGAAAATCAGCCAATAAATACTCTCCTTTCCTTTCCTTCCCTTTTTCTTTAATTAATTTGTATTCTGCAATCCTACTGATTAAATTATTGTAAAGTATGAGTTTTAATTTAAACCCAGACAATCGATGAGAACATCTACACAAAAAACTCTCAATCTCAGCTACGAGGAGGAAGGGTCAGGAAGCTCCGCCTTTCTCTCAACTTTCTGGCTGCACCCACACTGCCAAGTGGTTTATTTCACTAGCAAACCTCCCAGTTTGCCTGATGCCCATGACCAGCCCAAAGCACAAATTAAGAGAAATCACTCCCAACAGCAAGGAAGCTGTGGTACAAAGTTCCCACATGAAAAGCCAGATGAAGATGGGAGAGACTGGACTAGGTTGTCAGAAGCCACATATGTGATAACCATACATATGTTGAACAGTGAAAAAAACCTCTATTAAGCTTCCAAGAGTAAGATGAATGGGTTAAAAATATGGGTGTAATACAGTACAGAATTAATGATAACCATCAGTAGAGCTCCAGTTTTTCTAGCCTTACTAATCCTGTCCCCTTCCTTTTCATCGTTTACCTAGCCACAGCTCTATCCTGAACAATCATTTAAGCCTGTACATACTATCATGAGATAGTAGTGTGTATCCCTGTGGAGTAAGGCATCAACTCCCCAAAAAGATATGGACATCATGAAAAAGAGATTGCTTAACTGTGTTATTTTTCCTCTAATTATGAACTGTTAGTACAAAGGATTCCCAGTTAGCCAGTGTGTTTATAACAGGATGTGCTGACTCAGGAGTTATCTCTGTCATTTATATTAATTGAGCTCTAATTGAAAGACAGGCACTTGGCAGTGGCTAATTAACCGAGTAGGGGTACACCCAAGGGACTAACAAGGTAGAAGTAATCCCAGCAGTTAGGCCTGTAAAAGCACACAGGAAGGAAGTACAGGAGGAAGAGTTGGGAGCCTTAAGGAAGGCAGAAGTAGGCAGGACTAGCTGCTGCTACGGTATCCTTTCCTAGAAGCAAATGGAGCTGGTGACTCACTGTCAATATGAAATACAATAAAATTCAGTGGTGGTGATGGAGACCTGGAGTGGTTAAGTCCTCAGGGGACTCTCAGGGGACCACCCCAAGACAGTGTTTTATGCATTTTTACAATAAATTCCAATTAAACAGAAGGCAGCCATTTTCCATGGAATTGTCTTCATTAGGAAGGGATGTCAGAACATACCAGATATGTACAGGACCACAGCACAAATGCACTACTATAGTCAGCCTGGAACTCATTAACTGTACTACCCATAAGAAATGTATGAACTTTCCCATTCATATTAAAAATAGGGTATTATTTATGTAGCAATTTACCATCATGCCAAATAAGTAAAAAATTCTGCCCACAGAAAACTCAGTATCTGAGGATATAAGTGAATACAGTAGATAGAATTAATACAAAACATGATGGGGGCATTTCAAATGGTATGTATCAATCTAAGTGGCTTTCTAAGTGTTGCCAAGGATGTTTTGGCCAGTATTGATTGGAAGATTGTCCCAAGCATATTGGGGAGCTTGAAACAAAGCAAGAAGTCAGAAGCAAACACAGGGAACATTGTTGGATGATGGTTTCTCTGCCTTCCTAAGAACACACAAATGCTGTTATTTCAGTCTGCATCTGTAAGATATAGTGTACACTACCAAGAAAACTACAAGACTGTCAGAAAGAATTGGGGTGAAGACAACTACTATTAAGAACAAGAAAGGTGAATAGTTAAAATCCTTATTTGGGAAGAAATGGACAGACAGGGGATATTTCTTCCTAGTCTTCTTTAATTACAATATTGTTACCGTTATTGCTTTATAATAAGAAAAGCAGAACCGTAAGATGTAAGTCAACATACTCCTAAATCTGTAGGTAGCACAAACACACATACAGCTCACGGAACAACCTTGACTGAAATCCCAGGAAGGCAGTCTGTCTTTGACAGTTTCAGGATGGTACGTTTACCCCATCTGCTCACTAGACTCAGACAGATGCACATGCACAGCTTTATATCTAACACACACACACTAGGTGACCCAAATTTCTTGATTTTATCTTTTTCAAACAATGAATGATTAGAAATCTTAAAAGCCCAACTCTAGAAAAATAATCAAATTTCTAATATTCAATCCTTAACTACTATAATTATGGACACACTTGACTACGCTCTTTCAAGTAAATTAATATTAAAATTCAAATGTTCAATAGGCAGATAAATCAGAGTTCTTTTTTTTAAAAAAAAATACAAGGTTCTTAAGTATTATTTGCAACTAAATTCTGCAGAACATATTCTGCTATTGGTTTGATGCTTTAGTGGACCAAATTCTGCAATTTGAGATGTAGACAGCAAGTATGCCAACATTATTCAGGCAAATGCCTCCCTCTGCTCTCATTTATCAAGGGACTAAGGAAGACTGGTTACACCTAACCTTATCCAGCGAACACATGCTTGTCACAAACTGTACTAGATAAACTAATTCACCTTCAAGCAAAGTCAGACTGTAGATTACAAAACTCAGAAATATATTAACAAATACATATTTTTGGTTCCAAACAGGATCAGTCTATTCTTCCAATTCACTTAGCTGCCAAACACAGAAGAGAAAAGAGCTTGCGTTGTTTGCTGGAATCTGGTGCTGACCCAAAAATAAGGTAGGGCATTTGTAGTCACTCTCACATTGCACTCCGTCAAGAATATGCACAATTGCATATTAAAGTGGAATATAATTTTATGGCTCCCTTAGTGATTAAGATCTTATATTTTTTACAGGTGTTGATGTGCAGGATTTTCCACACTATGTGGCAAGATCTCTGGAGGTCATAATTTTGAATGTGGAGTTTTTTTATTTTTAGATCATTTAACATATGCAGAAATACATAACTGAAGGGACACAGGATAACATGGACACAGTACACAAATTAGGGTAGAAAATGTGAATATGCTCACTTTACTACCAGCTACTGTGGCTACAAATAAATGAAGGAAGAACAGATATATCTCAAACTGAAAACAAAGCGGGAAAGACAAAGGACTGGACAAAAATGGGTTAGTCCCAAATAATAAATAATGTAAAACAGTGGTTCCCAACCTTTTTTGATGTGCCACTCACAAAACAGCCAAAGAATCATCCCATCCCACAATCTTTTGACCACAAAGGATTGTGGAATTTAGGTCGTGAGTATAGTAGGAGTTTCTGCCTGTCTCCCAACATACTCCTCTTTATGCCCGCGCTTTGCTCAACTCTGGGGTAGCAAAGATCCTAGGTGCTGTGAAGTCTTCTCCCTTCCCAAGCTCCAGAGTTGAGCATAATTAAGGCAGGGAAGAGAGAAGCAGAGGAGCAACTCTGTGACTGGCTGCCGGGGTAAGTAGGGAGCTGTTCTGCCTGTCACCAACCCCAGCTACTGGGTTTTAGTGACCCAGAGATTTTGCTGTTCTCTCAACTGATGGCATGGAACCCACTGCCAGGTCATGTCCTACCAGTTTAGCAATGCTAGTCTAAACTGTTTTCGCTGTTTAAAATGTTTTACTTTGATACCTTTACGTAAGCCACTTGATGTTTACTGAACTTAAGAGAATTAACTTATTACATTTTTATATTTTAGAGATAACAGAGGTTACACAGCACTTCACCTGCTACTACTACACTGGCCAAATATTTATATAACTGGGACAGACATCTTGACCAGACTTCAGAGAAACCTGGCAATTACACAGAGTAATGCAGAAGAATGTCTTCGTATCTTGTGTGAGAAGGGAGTTCAAACAGACCCTGAAATGGATAGTAACTACAAACACAGCTCCTTGCATTTAGCCTTACACTCTGGAGCCTCTCGAGCTATATCTATTCTAATTGAGAATGGTGCCAACATAGATGACAGAGATGAGTTTGGCAAGACAGTGCTTCACACTGCTGCAGAGCATTTGAACAAGGAGGTAACAGAAACTTTAATCACCTGTGGAGCAAACATTAATTGTACTCTTCCAACTTATGGAAAAACTGCTCTTCAGCTTGCAGTATGCACTGCATCATCTAAAGCAGGCACAGTTTTAGCTGCTGATATAGATTGCATCCGTTTACTGTTAATTAATGGAGCGAAAGTAAATACTCAAGATTGTGAAGGACGAGCAGCTATTCATGATGCTTGCTTGGGAGGAAGAAAAGAAATAGTTGATCTCCTCGTAGATTACCATGCAGATGTTAACATTTTAACAAGACAAGGGCAATCTCCCCTTTTTCTGTTTCTTCAACACAGGTCAAATCTAAGATGTATATCACTGTTAAATAAGTTGTTAAACCTCTCATACCCATTGAAGCTAACCAATTATCAAGGAGATCTACCCACTGGACTTCTGCTCCGAGAATTTCAAATACAAAGAGACTTTCTCATAAGATTATCACAAAACATGTTGTCTCTGCAGGACATCTGCAAAATCACTGTCAGAAGAATATATGGGGAAAAAAACAAACAATGCTTGAAAAAACAACTTCCCGTAACTGTGTGGAATACTGTATACAACTACCAGGACTACTCACAACTTTGGTAAATAAATCTCATGACTTAAACAGTCACAAAGATAAATGATTCTGGAAGATTTGATTAATGTGTGTGACATATGCAGTGACACACACCTACATGAGAAAGTGAATTGAGAAGCTGCTGATCCTGAAACTGTGTAATGAAAAATTAAACATGAATCAGGGATGCATATTAATACTGTATGTGTGTTTTGAATCAGCTCTTAACTTCTCTCAAATGTAATTTTAATAATCAAGGGTTTTTTTTAAACACCTAATACTTTTCATGTGTAATCACGATTTTAAGTACAATATCTAGAAAGACAGCCAATGAACTTCCAAGAGAATGGGATGGGGAAATTACACATTCAGTCTATTTCTTATGTTTTCAGTTTAAGTAGGAAAAAACCAAGCAAGATATTCTACAAATTCTCATAATTAAAGCCAATTAGTCAACAATAATCTTATAACTATATCTATTGTCATCAATCAAGGTTACTCAGGAGGATGTAAGGACAAAAGTTCTAATTTGTTAGATTTTTTAAAAATTTGGCTCTCATTGTTCTTAATGGGAACAAAGTCAAGCTGCCCTCGGGGAAAATGGTGAACCCTTACGCGGTCTGGAGGTGTACTGTGAGAAGACGGTGAATAGAACCAGGGGCCATCTTGGTTAAAGGCAGCATGTGGCTTCAGTGCCATTGAGAACAATAGCAGATAACCATTTGGAAAGAGAGCAATTTTTGGTGAGTTTCTCTGAAGACAATAATTTTCTTCCTTAACAGAGTCTGAAGGAAAATAAACAGAAAAAAAATGACCATTAATACTAAAATGTAGTTTCAAAAGATACCCATTGGATCAGGTCTATTCAAGATTCATCCGTCTGCTGGATAAATAAAGCTGTGAGTTTGTCACGGAGGTCACAGACTCTGTGACTTTCCAGGACTTCTGCAGAAGCCAGTGCAGCTGGCCCAGGGGCTGCCTGAACTGCTCAGGTGGCCCCGTGGCCAGCCACACCGGCCATTGCTGGGGCAGTCTCGGGCCACCGCCCCAGCAGCAGCAGGAGTTTGGGTGTAGGAGGGGGCTCAGGGCTGGGTGCTGGAGCACGGGAGGGGGTGAGGGCTGGGGGCAGCGCTTACTTCAGGGGGCTCCGCAGAAGCAATGACATTCCTCAGCTCCTAGGCAGAGGCACAGCCTTGGCACTCTGCGCGCTGCCTCCATCTGCAGGCACCGACCCCAAAGCTCCCATTGGCCATGGCTCCTGACCAATGGGTGCTGAAGAGCTGGTGCTGGGGACAGAGGCGGCACACAGAGTTGCATGGCTGCACTTCTGCCTAGAAGCTGAGGGAGGGGGATGTCGCTGCTTCCGGGGAGGTGTGGAGACAGGTAGGGAGCCTGCGAGCCCCGCCAACACCTCCCACACACCATGCCCCAGATTTAGGGGTATATAGTACAAGTCATGGACAGGTCACAGACCGTGAATGTTTGTTTACTGCCCATGACCTGTCCATGACTTTTACTAAAAAATACCCATGACTAAAACGTAGCCTTATAGATAGAAAATGCCTAACCTGAGATCATTTGGGACATATAATATTCTGACAAACAGTACTAAATTTCTTAAAGGAACCTATTTTAATTAATTTTAACTCTAATTAATTATAGGTTTACTTGTAAATTTTCAACAACTTCATTCTGACATAAAGTGCTGTAATTTTGGGGATGGTGCAGTATATTCTTCATACATGAAGTGATTGAATCTTCTTTTTAAGTGCAAAACTCAGCTCAGCCTTAGCTATGGAGCCACTATCAGCACCTACATAACACAAATGGTCTTTCCTGTCTTTAATAATAATACCTAGTTATAAGGTATTTTTCAAAGGAAGTCAGTATCATTATTCCATTTTACACATGGGGAAACTGAGGCAAAGAGAGCTGAAATAAGTTGCCCAAGGTCACCCAACATGCTAGTGGCAAAGCTGATAACAGAACCCAGGTCTTTTGAATACAAGTCCAGTGCTCCACCCACTAGGCCACACTGCATCCTCGAATGATAATTTTCCAACTTACTTTAATGTCTCGATGCATGACTCCCTTGCTGTGTATATAGTATACTCCTTCAAGTAACTCTTGAAAAAATTTTAATGTCCAGCTGACATCCACAAGGTGGTAAGGACCTTAAAACAATTTAAAATTTTTAATTATTTCAGCTGATTTTGCTAAAACTAAAATGCCTTATAAATCTATGGTAAAATGGTGTGTCAGTTTATCTGCAAACATGAAGACAGTCTAAATAAAATTAGCATAGGTTAAAAGTGATTTCCCATGGTGTAAATAGGATATTTCTTCTTTAAGATAGTGGCTGGTGTATGAGCTCTAAAGAAAGACCGCTTATATCCTCTCTCTCTCTCTCATCTAATTGTGAATGTGCTCATTATTCGCATGTCTAATTCTCTTCTGAATCTTACTAAGCATCAATGATAATTAGCTTATGGAAACTGTCAAAAATTATGACTTCTGTAAAAAAAAGTATTTACTTTTATCGGTGTTAAATTGGTTGCTTTTAGATTTGATTGAAATGTCCTGTGGAGTTAAAATCATAAAAGTTCCTGGTCCTCTGGTTCCTAAACAGGATCCAAAAATGTTGTATGAAAGAATAAAAGTGAAAAACTTTCAGGTAAGAGGTTATTCTCTCTCCTAGAATCATGAGTTGAGAGTTTCAAAGTAATGCAAGAGATTTAACCTCACATCCGCTATTATTCATGGAGGAGGTATGGCTAAATCCCTGTTACTGCTTTGAAATTCTCAACACTGATGTGCCTGTCTCACTGATCTCTGCTCCAACAAGATGGTGCTGAAAATGGCTGACATCTTTCTACCATTCATCATTCTGTATACCCCTATCATGTTCCTTCGTACTTGTCTCGTCTCTGAACTACATAATCTGTTTTTTCAGTCGCTCTTCATTCAGAAGTCTTTCTGTGCCTTCAGTCATTTTCACTGTCCTTCACTGAGCCCTTTTTATTTCTGCTATATCTCTTTGAGATCAAGTGACCAGAACTGAACACAATATTCCAGCTAAGGGCTTGCCAATTTAATATAATGGCATATTTTCTGTATTATTTTATACTCTATTCTTTATAGAGCCTAACCCACCTATTATCATACTGCCTATTCTTGTATCATTTTTAGGTTTTCAGATTTCTCTAGCCTTGACTAACCTAAACAGTCACCTACAAATTTTGCCACCTCATTTTGTTCAACTCTTTTTCTAGATTATAAATATATTAAACACTGCTCCTAGTACAGAACTCTGAGGCCCAATATTAACCTTTTGCTACACTCAAAAGTGATCATTTATTCCTACTCTTGTTTCTTAGTTTCTAACCAATGGTTGTAGTTTACCTTTCACCCTATAACTACTTGGTTTCATTAACATCCTCTTGTGTGAGTCTTTGTCAATGTTTTTTCAAACTAAGAATAAATTATACTGGAGTTCTTCTATCCAATTCTCAAACAGGCCCAATCTTGCTTAATTTAAGAGACCAAAAAGACTAGTTGTAGGGAGGGAAGGGTGGAGGGGGAAACAAATAAAAACCAAGCAGGTAGGAAATCTCACTCCATGCAAAGAATATAACAAAAAATTTGTTCTCAAAAGTGATCTGATAAGACATCAAGTTAAAGACACATTTTTCATTTCAAGATTTACAGTTCTATAGAACAATCTGTGTTAAGTAGATTTCTTTTCACACTAACTATGAAAGGGGTAGAGCATATCTTTAATGCTCTGTCCTTAAAAGACCTGTCCCTCTAGATATCAACAGTCAATGAAGCCTGCTGACATCACCATCTAAGAACTCCTCTGATTGGGACCAGATGTTAAATCCACTATGGTCAATTAAAATAATGCTGTAGGATGTTTTTCATTTTTCCAAGAACAAATTTTAAAGCTTTCAATTGCGTTGTAACCCCACTGCATTAGAGAAATCAACTATTAAGCTATCTCCTTGTCATTGAAAACTAATGTTTAACAGACAAAGCAACCACAATTAAGAATTATTACACCTGTTTTTGGAACATAGCTCATTCTGATCAACTTTGACATTGTTCTGGAAAAGGAACAAAATCTACATAATCTAAACTGCTCATTGAAAAGGGACAGGCCTGCTCAACAGCAGCTCTACTTCTCCAGATTAGTCCTATTTCTCATGCATAGTTTCACCCTTCACTTCTGGGTGAACTTTAAGTCTCTTCTACAAACACCTCACCTGTACAGACTACACACGTTTTACTAAATTACTGTTATTCTGATTGAATGAAAGGGGGAAAAGGACCTAATAACCAAAGTCCATGTTATTCAATAAAGTATGAAATCTAACATATTGACTTCCAAATAGAAAATCAAAATACATTTTTTTTTTTTGCCCTGTAAGTATTTATATTGTAAAAACAAACTATAAATCTTACTGGAAGATTCCTCTGTTCGCACACCACATCTTTTGTTTCTGTCAACAATCCAGTCCCACAAGGAGATATCACACAGTTGCATCTGTATATGAAGCATCAGACAATACTCCATCTAACAGGAAAATATTGGTACATATTTTTTCACTGTAATATAAGGGATGATCACTTATACAATTTTGTTTCAAGACAAATGATCTGCAGTTTTAAACTAAGATTGAGTACGGAGTGGATGGCAGATAAAGTGCTATTAAATGTATTGTGTTTTAGGTGAGAGAAGAGAATGTACCATTATTTTGCTTTCCTTATTCCTCAAATGGTACTAAGTAATAACCGTTTAAAAAGCATAATACAAGCCATATACAGTGTAGTTGTAGCCATGTTGGTCCCAGAATGATGATGATAAAATAATAAAAGCTAACACAACATGACAGATATTCCTAAGATATTCAGGCGTATCTGGGTAAGTCTATGGAAAGATTTTAGGGTTTTTTTTTCCTTTTTCAGATGGACTATGTAGGGAAGCATTCTGACCAAAGAAAATAATTTATAAGAATATCAATATTGGAAGATATATTTGTTTTGATAAATGTAATACCAGAATCAAGATAACACTGGATCTCACTGCCTTTAGAGCAAAATGCATTCAGACCGGACTAATCAATTAATTTTTTTCCCTTAAAGTCAGTTTCATCTTCTGATGATGCACTAGTACAACCCTGCAGTGGTTGGGTGC